TTTCCCATTATGATCGATCGAGTATCACTATTAGTTTTTTTTTGTTTTTTTTTTACTGTTAAGTAATTCTGAACATAATGTAACCGAACATTTTCAGTATAGGTTAGAAGTAAATTATGAAATTATTTCGTTATTTTGGGGATCATAAATACTTTTACAATTTTCCTAATACTTATGGTAGTTATTACTTGGTGTCTTTTATACCAATAAAGCAAAACCTTGTTAGGCAAGTTAAATAATTTGACATGACTTCCTAGACTAAATCTGTCGCAACTCTGACCTTTTGCATGCCCTATTTTTAAATTATATGTAAAACGAACCGTTCTGGCAACATCAGGCAGCAGTACTTAGCGTATACACCGCTCCCCATAAAAAGAAAAAAAGAAAAAGAGAGAATAAAGATGTAAAATGTTTCCTCCCTTTAACATTTTAAAAATTCCGAATTCGCTATTTATGTAGCAAATATTATGAACACGAGGGAAAAAAATGTTGTAATTTCGCGACGAATAGTTTCACACAACAAGCGATCCTCGGGCATTGTTCACAACACGCAATTCCCACGGATACGATTTGTCCAAACGTAAATATAATGATAATATTAGCCGTTTCCTTATAAGGAAACATCCAGTGTTTATCGACCGAACAGCCAGTGCTTACTCGATTTACGCTTCTCTTCACTCCCAGGCCATCGGGCTTGAATCAATGTGTAGTATCTGTTCTTATATCTCTAATGATAATGGTAACATTGGCCATTTTCTGACAAGGAATGTTTCATTCGGCATTCATTGACCGAGTTAGCCAGTCTTAGTATTGTTTGAAATTTATAAAATCTTTCTATTAAAACAATCTTTCAGAAAAATAGGTTTCTCAAGTCCAGTAACATTTATCACTCTTTCCAGTATTAATCGGAGTTTCCTTCTTGGCGACAGGCTGTTTCATTGCGTCTAGCATGAAACAGCCTGTCGCCACTGAGTGTTGACTTCAATGTTCACTTTTATATATATATAAGACTTGCGGAGCTGTTTAATGTTTTAAAAAAATATGAATGCTGATCAGAACACTACCCTGGTTTTGAGCACTACGGTCTCCTCAGGTTGTTTGTTCAGCAAATCAACCAAATGGAGATCAATAACTTAAGTACTTTCGTTCGAAACCGAAAGTGGTGAAAGGATATGTAGCAAAAAAAAAAAAAAAAAAAAATTCACAACTTTATCCAGGTTTAAATAACTCCAAACTGAACTTCTTAACATGTCTACAGTTGGTCATGATCTCTGACCTCTTGTTCAGTAATTCAGTGCTCTCTTTATACATTGCTATAACTAGTTTCTCTTCTTGACATCGCCTACACATATTCCCGATTATTATGTTAGTCTTTACACTTAGTAATATACTCCATTTAATGTTTGGGCTTTTGTTATGCTTCTCCCTAAAGTTCCAATAACATCTTGCTAGCAGGTAGCTTCATGTTGTACCTACGTTCCGGGATTATAAAAGATGAGGTATGATTATACCACCTCCTCTTGAACTAACCCTCAGTACACCTGATGTATTTTTATGGTACTATTTTCACCTTCCACTTAGGTACAATATACAACCCATTCCGTACGGTATAATCCATTTATAGGACAGTTATCTTTTGTCCTGTAATTACATACGACCATATTTTCACCTTTCACGTTATTTTTGAGCTTTAAATGTTTGCTATTTAATCTTTTTATGACGTTACCCTATATATATATATATATATATATATATATATATATATATATATATATATATATAAAAAATGCTGAAAAGTTCTCGGCCGACCCGCTTCTCAAAATCTGTACAAATATTCAAATATCAGAATTTTATTGAGAGATTCTCGGTCAGATCCAGAGCTTTTCTTCACCTCCTTTGTCATCATCATCATCATCATCATCATCATCATCATCATATATTGAAAGTCCACTGCTGGATAAAGGCCTTTTCCTACTTCCCCTCTGGCAACTACGACTGTGTTCTTATCTGTTCCGTTTTACCAGCAAACCCCTTTTATCTCATCTCTTCATCTTCTGTCTGGTCTTTTCTTATATATTCAGGGTATGCACGTTCCAACAGATACATTCTTTGATAACAACAACACTTGTCAGTAACGCATCGTTACTTTCCATCTAAAGAATCATATTACATAAGTCATATGTTAGCCTATAAGATGGATACGTAAAAATTACCAATATGATGACGTGGAGATACGGAAAAGGTAGATAAAAAGGGGAGTAAAAGAAAAAAAAAAGACAAAGACCTACTTGACATTATTTTTTACTATATTATATGTGTCTTTAATTCAGTAAAAAACCTTTAGAAAAGAAAACAGAAGAAAGAAAAAAACTTGAAGAAAAATGTGTAAATGGATAATAAATTATGTGAGAAAAAGTTTAAAAAAAAGTAACTATAGTGACAAATAAATAAAATGATACACATTAATAAATATATCAAACTAGTTGAAACACAGCTCTACGCCGGGAAAGCTTTGAGTCGTTGTTATAATGACAGTTAACCGGTCCGTTAGTCCTAATGGTAAGCTAATAATTTGATTGGAGATTCTGTACGATTAGTCACAGATTTGCAGCAGTATGGCTTCCCGTTGATTATTGATCAATGTTAGAGATCCCCCTTAATGAGTGCCCCAGTTTCCCCAGGAACAGTTTTTTTTTAATGCTAAAACCCTTCTTTGGGACTAGTAATTATGTTAACTAAATTTGAGCGCTCGACATGAAACAGTTTGGTTGTGTGCGGCCAACAGATAAACTCTTTCCAATAATATATATATATATATATATATATATATATATATATATATATATATAACGGAATGGTCCAATCTGTGGTCGGCGGCGGCTTTATCATGTATCTAAGAATTTGATTTCTTCTTTGCTGATTGCTTCTTTACGATGATGGCGTTGATGATTACATTTACCGCCAAGGTGCAGGTTCAGGACTAGAAGCTTCCGGTTTCACCCAAACCTGCTCCCGTCAGCCATTCCGTATCGCCGTTTGGCTTTGCAAGAGTTGGTTGAAGCCGAAAGAAAATCAGAGCAGAAGAAAATGTCGATGGTGTGAATTTGTTTAAGGTGGGCCTCAACTTCCCAGGAAGTGATACCCCACACTTTATTTCATGATCCCCCCCAACCTCCACGACACATAATCTGTAGTACGCGGAAGCAAAATTAAAAACGAAGACATTGTTCAATCTTTTATTCCCCGCCCCGACTCCACCTTTGTTTTTTGCAGGGTTTTTAATTACCCCTTCGTCTTTACCTATTTAGCTTCAAACGATTGGCAACCGCTCTCAGTAAGTGACTTTTTCATTTCGGTTGGTATTTCAAAAGGTTCATTGATTCACTGTAAGGATCAATAAATTTTAAGTCTGAAATTTTATGTCAATTTGGTAAATTTTACACAAGTGCACACAGACATAGAAAGATGACACTGGAGTTACATCGCTTACAGTTACAGTATGATTGAGAAAAAATAATGAATGAGCGCATTACTACAAACCGCCACAAAAATGGGACAGAAGGCATTGATAAACCTATAATTAATACCGAATTTTTATTTATTTATTTTGGGATTATCCAACCTTATCTGCCAGATGACTTCTCTTAACACCCGATAGATGGCGTGTTATAAAGCATAATAAAAGAAAAGGATGTAAACCTTCTTTCTCTTTTCCGTTTTCTATCTTTAACCCAAACTGTAATGACAAGACGTGTCCTGTTTCCCTTCTGGAGAACTTATTCTCTACTAACTTATCATTACACATTTATAATCTTTGATGATTTTTCATTCCAAGAGAAGAACTACTTGACTTGTATGATCTGTGAGGGAGTCTCGAAGCTGAAACAATTAATCAGACAGTCTAAAGCCATAGAGTTTTAACGAATATTCTATGATGAGAGATGGTGCACCAACCAACCAACCAACCAACCAACCAACCAACCAACCTTTAGAATATTTTTTAAACAATTTGGAAAAATGCGAAGATGTAAATGAAAGAGATGATCACAAATTTCTAATTTGTTTTTTTTTATTCATTATTTACATGCGGACTATAGTCCTCATTTTTGTTTCGGCCGTTGTGCCATCCGGCCTTTATTAGATGCTTGTCAGTTCGAGAACATTGACAACTCTAATTGAGTCAGGGTGATTTGATACCCGTAGGCGTAGAATACTAACAGTGATTGATTATCTTTGTCTAAGTTTTAATATCACACACACACACACACACACACACACACACACACACACACACACACACACACACAAATGTGCAGAAACAGTGTGTGTGATTGTGGCAATAGAGAAGTCAAGTGCTCTGACGTTCGTCCGTGTCTTCCTCCGTACCCCACTTCACCCGACGAAAATAAAACTACTAAAAGAAACCTGAAAATATTTGTCTGCTGTTGACTGAGTCTGTTGATGCAGGGTTGGGGTCTCTACTGAAGAAGTGCTGATCGACTATTAGAATCAAGTTACGATACGCAACGCAACCATACACATCAGGCTCATCTTGAAGATCCTTATTACTGCACTCAGTCTTCACACACTGCTCAACACTTGTGACCTTGTGCCTTATCGAAATTAGTAAATATTAATATTGTTGGCTTGTCTTATAGCTAAAATAACTATTTCTTACCAGTAGTCGGTGTTCCAGCCAAAATAAGGATTTGCAATGCTGATTTTTTAGGCATTCAGTATTCTTTTCTTGGAAGATTGGATTCTATTGGATCTTCTTGCTTCTACTTGTGCTATATTTACGACGAGAAAACTGAAAGTTCTTTTTTTATTTAGTTTTGTTAATGTAGTTTTATGATCGCCTACGTCCTGAAGGGACACGGCACATAAAAGAAAATGTTTCATGAAACAAAATATTTCTTGTAACAGCAATACTTTCATTGATAGTACAAGATAAAATGTGAGGGGTGAGGGTAGTCTTTCAGTGGTGTCAGGTTATGTGTATGTCTGGAATATTTGAAGATAAAGTGTGGAACTTTCTTTTCGTTGTGTAAAGCCATGTGTGTGGTCGGTAACTGCATCTGGTAAAAAACGACCGGCTAATTAATACCGATGAACGAGAGATAAAGAGTGCCTCCACAGATATTTGGACAAGGGAGATCCGAGCGAAGAGAAGTTGTCACGCGAAGAAAGCTTCAGTCCACGCGCGAAAAGCGACGTCCTACCGTCACACACACGAACAGACTTATGAAGCTTTCATTAAATGCCGGGATTTCTGTGATATCTGTCACAGAAAAAGTCACAAAACTCATGATAGTTGTATTCAATCATTTTACTTTATTTTTATTTTTTTTATAATATCACCATGGAAATAATGTGCGGGTAGCGTAGCGGTTATGGCGGGAAAGTAAAATCAGTGAATCGAGTTCAAATTCCACCTTAAATTGTTGCGTTCACTTTCGCATTAAAACATTTAGGAAAGGCACGAATCTCTTTCCCCCAACGTGTGGATTAAATAACAAGAGAGACTAGGCTTTCTATGTGATAACCAATCTATAGAGAGCCGTGATCATTTGCGTATTGAAGTGAGACGACATTAAAACAATAAATAAACAATTTTGTTAACTTTTAGGATGAGGTGCTATCATTATTTACATTTGGATTAATGCCCTCATCTTGTTATTATCACAACGTTTCGGCCGTTGTACCATTTGGACTTCATCAGGTGTCTGTCGATAAATAAATAAATTCATCTGCTAGAATGAGTTTATAGTAAACATTGCAATCACAAAACCAACCTGTGTTGGAATTATGTTAACAAAGTCATTTGAATGGAACATTTACCAACATAGTAAATTATTGCTTATTGTTATCTATAGTTTTACTTCTTTTTATCTATATATAAATACCGCATTATTTACATACCTCAGTATGAAAGGTATAAGTTACTATAAAAAGAATTATTATTGATGAATTATTAATATTAATTATTAATTATAAGTATTGTTAAATAAAGATGCACAATGGTAAAGGGGAAATAAAATTGAAGACAACAATCCTGTTTTTCTTTCGGCTTCACCTATTTTCTTTTCGCTTTTCTTTTCGTTTTTTGTTAGCATTTTACTTAGCCTCTACTTTTTTCCCTTACCACCTTCATACTACTTTTATTCTCTCCCTTGTTTCCCCAATTCTGTTGTCTTCTAGAAATCGGCAGTTCATAACTCTCTTTCTCTCTCTCTCTTTATCTATCTATCTATCTATCTATCTATCTATCTATCTATCTATAAAGAGTGTTTCAATAACTTGGTCCGATTTCAAATGTGAATTAAGTTGAAGCGTCTAAGGATTTATTTTCTTTTTCTTTCAGATTTAACCCATTCCCCACACCCCACACAAAAACTTGATTTTATTTATCGATGGCAAAAGACATAGGCATGTCCAAAAACTCCGATTTTTAAATTTTTCTGACGTTGTTATTTTGTTAAATGGTCTAATAAAATGCAGTAAATATTATTATTATGTCTTTTTTCGAATTTCTCTCATAGACCTACTATACCTACATGTAAGAAGCATATGCAGACAATCTTACTCTAATATATATATATATATATATATATATATATATATATATAGAGAGAGAGAGAGAGAGTGTGTTTGTGGACCTATCAATCAACACTGCATAGTGATTGTCTGTGTCGCGATCTTCTATATCTATAAACGCTCTATCTCACATACTGAGCACTCTTCCCTTATAAATATAGAAGTTGTTAAACAATACACACACACACACACACACACACACACACACACACACATATATATATATATATATATATATATATATATATATATATATAGGTACCATGTAACCCAGTAAGACCTGCCGCATGGTCGTTTAATCAGGTTGATCAAGCCTTCTGATGAGTAGGGTGGCTTGACACACACACACACACACACACACACACACACACACACACACACACACATATATATATATATATATATATATATATATATATATATATATATATATATATATTCTTAGTGCTACAGAACTTGAGTATTGCTGTAAAACCATTAAACGAGTAAAACAGAAAGCAAAACAATTTGGCCAAATGAAATTACAAAAAAAAAAAAAAAAAAACTAGGAGGACAAGGCGTTGCATGGCAAATATCTAAAAAGAACGAAAGAAGCAGATGTAGACTAACAGAAAACACGTCAGTGGCTGAGGAGCAGCGGAGTGAAAGCTGAGAAGTCCTAATTATTACAGTTCAGGACCAAAGCCTCGAAACCAGATCACTGTCACATATAATCAAGGATGAAACTAACCCGAAATGCAGGATATGCGGTAAATGTGATGAAACTGTCGACAATATTATCTTACAATGTCCGGAACTAGCAAAAAATGAATATACCCACAGGCATAGCAAGGTAGCGACATATGTGCTCTAGAAGATATGCAAGAAGCACAAAATCGAAACCATTGAGAGATGGCATGAGCACCAATCAGACACGGTTATCCAAAATAACGATGTAATTATCCACTGGGACATGCCAGTTCAAACTGACAGGGAAATAAAAGCCAACAGACCTCATATCAGAAAAGACAAGAAATTCAGGAAGTTCTTATTGGCATATCACTACAATCTGAGAGAAAAACCTCCATGAAAATTATAGAGAAATTGTCCAGATACAAAGAACTGGAGATCGAGGATGTGAGGAATGAAAACCGAAACTGTAACAATAGTAATCGGGCCTCGTGAGAAAAGGAATTAACAATTTTACTAACAGTGTCCCATGTAATATTAACATACAAGTTTCCCAGAAGATTGCCCTACTAAGAACATCATATATACTAAGAAAAGTGCTATCAATTAAATGACAATTCTCCTATAGGGCCTAAGGACCATAGTTTGGACCCGGCTCTATAGGATGCAAAGCAGAAAACATAACATACACAGGTAATAATAATAATAATAATAATAATAATATTTCACAAAAGACAGAATAATCAAAGCTAATCGCCCAGACATCGTTATTAGAGACCGCAAACACAAAGGGGGCCTTCTTGTTGATATGGCAGTCCCTGCATACAACAATATATCTTTGTAGATCCTAAAAAAAACTATCAAAATACAAGGACCTTGAAATCGAAATCTCAAAAATCTGGTACATAAGAACAATAACAATTCCAGTTGTAGTTGGAGCCCTCGGATTGTTTAGAAACGATTCCAACAGACTCATTGAAGGGATTTCTGGTAGTTCATGCCTTAAAGAAATACAAAAAAAATTGTTCTCACGAGTACAACCCACACCTTACGAAAGGCTTTATCTACGTAAAATATGTGATTTTAAAAAAAATTGCTCAGTGGAAAATGTCATGATGCCGTTTCCGATCTTATGACTCTGGTTGGAATCCGGAAAGAAATGAATATACACCAGAAATCAAAGGGAATGAAATAAAAATAATAATAATAAACTTGTTCAACTTGTGGTACCCTAGTAGGTAGGAAGATAAATTTATTTTAAATCACGATTTTGCGCAAACATCTTCGCCCACAGGCATATTTCGACCGTATACTCCAAAAGTTCTTGAAAGTTCCCTACGAACACAACGTATTTCTCATAGAAGACGTTTCTCGACATTTCATACCAGACTCCAAAATGTCCAGGATTTTAAATTCACGATCAACATAATCCCGCAGGAAGTACCATAACAACACAAATAACATAGTTCGATTTTACGCTGTATCAAAGCAGAATAAAAATGAAAATTGAAATCGCAGATGAATTTTCATCTTAAAGAATAAAAGAAAAGAAAGGCAAAGCAAAAGAATACTAGTCTTATAGCTGCTCGTTCTGAATCCTAGAAGAGAAATGTGATGTGATGAGAGTCAATAATTATATTGTCTAGTCTAGCTAGCTATCTTTCTGCAGAGAGTTACAGAAATCTGATATGTTTTCACTTTAAATTGTTGCCTTGTCATGTTTTACATTTGCAACTAATCTAGATCTCAGGTTTGAGTTACTCAAAACGAACGCTTGCTTTTCCAACAAAAGTAGCCATTTTATGTTTCCTTCATTTCCGGACAGACGCTTCCTTGTTAAGTCAGAGCAGAAATTACTTCTAATTTTTTAAATTAAAAAAAAAAAATCGTTTTAAAATTTTTCGAATAAATAATTTATATCTCTAAATCCGTTTTTGTTTGATTTTATAGAATATAAGGATTTTGAGAATTTTAGTTTATTGATTTGGTAAGATTTATTTTGAATTGAGCTGTTTCGATTCTAAAAATCGATTGTTTAAAAATGTTAAAGCTTCATTAACGATATACGTAAGAAATAATCTTAGTCTTCAGAAGACAACAAATGTAAAACAAAGCGAAAATTGTTGTTTTACAAACCTTTGTACAAAAAAATGGGTAAATGATTTCTTTGAAAGTAGTTGATCGCCTCACTTTATTTACACAACAGCAAGGATTGGGTGCATACAAATCTCTAGTAAAAAAGTAAGTGGGGATATATATTTCACAACACCCCTTTCATTCATTCTATCTATCTATCTATCTATCTATCTATCTATCTATCTATCTATCTGTTATGCTGTCCTCCCTCTAAAGAGTCTATGTTAGACTCTTCTGCCTACTATAAGATTAGTAGGACAGAAGACTTGAGGGAACAATGAATAGATTTTTGGCCGAGCCCACGGGCTCGGAGATCCCACGTTAAACCCGGCCTTGTGCCACATGTAACCCTCGTGGGGGGTAGCTAAATATCACAATGAATAGATTGAGCGCTAGTTCATTCGATACACTCTCACTAGTCGTGTAATACTCTTCTGGTGTACTTACTGTTTAATGTACGATATATCTGCAAACCTGGTTTTTGTTATTACTTCACCATTTACTTATCTATCCTCAGTCTATTCATATCTATCTATCTATCTATCTATCTATCTATCTATCTATCTCCTTTCTGTACGTATCTATGCATGTATTTCAGTTTGTTGTACTATCTATGCACGTGTAGTGGTGCTGTAAGTATTGTTGGCTAGGGTCACCGTGAATATAATAAAGAAGGAAGGCTGTGTTCTTGTAAAACAACACCCCACATGAATAATGCACAACAAACACGAGAGAAAAATAATCAAGCTCAGTGAACATTAATAAAATATTGTATTAACAATGATATACAAATATCAACAATAGTATAAAGAAAGTTGCTTCCCTTCTTCCGTAATATAAAGGGCAAGTTTAGCTAATTAATGCTGAGTACAATATTGAATGTTATTTAACTACAAAGTTCAATTGAAGTCTTAGCTAAATAAAGAATAGTTCCACAGTGTTTTATCAGTGTAGAAAAATGTAATGTTCATGAGTGATATCAATAGGAATTAGTATGATTACTCGATTGAGTGTTAATTAAGAATTAAAATGTCAATATAGCGCCGTGCCTTATTTTCCAAGAATTGAACTGCTACTGACTGTTAGCAAACAGCGAGAGTCTTTATATAACGATGGATAGGCTCCGGAGAGCTTGGCGCTAAAAATATAGAAAAGATACTAAAATACGCGATTGGTCAGGAAATGGACCAATCCGTGATTTTAGAGAAAATTTCAAATTACTTGCAATGGCAAAATTGTCATATGATAAGTATTATATAATTACGAACCAATGATATTGAAGGAAATGGAGGTGTGGCACATGTAAGTGATCCCCCACACATGTATTTTGGCTTTTCCGTTTGTGCTATTTCTCTTTCTCCTCTTTCTCTCTCTCTCTCTCTCTCTCTCTCTCTCTCTATATATATATATATATATATATATATATATATATATATATATATATATATACTATCTAACGAGTCTATCCTTAGTCTATTCATATCTATCTATCTATCTATCTATCTATCTATCTATCTATCTATCTATCTCCTTTCTGTACGTATCTATGCATGTATCTCAGTTTGTTGTACTAGCTATGCATGTATTTTGACTTTTCCGTTTGTACTATTTCTCTTTCTCCTCTCTCTCTCTCTCTCTCTCTCTCTCTCTCTCTATCTATCTATCTATCTATATATATATATATATATATATATATATATATATATATACTCTTCGAAATGTAACTAAAGTAGTGTTTCCAACAGAATTAGATTATAACTGGAGAACCGGTGTCGGAACATCATTACCACTAATCCAAGACACCCCAGCAGCAATATCTCACGATTCAACCAAACTTTGCCGGTTGGAAAAATTCAATCCTACGGCTTATGATATGCTTGCCACATTCAACCGGATACAATCTTTGCCTGGTTCTGGAGCTTTGGAAGATATTCCTGTCTATCTGAGTTATTCATTCGTAGAAACCAAAGATATTTTGAGATTCATCCGGTTACGAATCGACGACATCCATTTTCGACGGGAAATATATTACATCGCCAGTCATTTCCTTTACATTCGCATTTAGTTCGTATTTCTACAGCTTTCGTTCATACAGTCATTCGATAATGTCTTCCAATAATGGATTTATTTTTAATCCGACATTTTTATTACTTGAAAAGTTATTATAGTGGATACTTAATATTTTCGAAAAATCCACTATAATAACGTTCGCAGTAATATATATTCTATTAATTCTCTCTTTCTCTCTCTCTCTCTGAAATAACGATATATATTTTTATATATCAAAAACAGTATAGGGAAAATTGTATGACAAAGGGGAAGAAAACGTTTACTTGTGACGCATTTCGTCCTTCAGGACTTCATCGGAATAAATTTGTTATGTTGGTAGTACTACAAATGACACATGCGCACAAACGAGTGGTGCTGGGAATTTTAGAATTTTTTTTAAGAAAAAGAAATAGACTCTAAATGAATTCGCCTAGATATATAAAAAAAATAAATTAAAAAATTCCCAGCAACCCTCGATCGTGCGCATATGTAGTTGTATCAACATAAAAAATTTAGTCCGATGAAGTCCTGAAGGACGAAACGCGTCACAAGTAAACTTTTTTTCATATCTACCTATATTCCTGAGATTAGGTATTGTAATTATTTACACTATTTATATTGTTCGGACTGTTGACCGCATCTTTGTTGCCATATTCACGATGTTTCCGGCCTTCTGATTGCAATTTCGAACTGAACTCTTTATTTCGTCCACCAGATTAAATTGTTTTAGCTCCACGTGCCATGCCTCTTCTGGATGTCTCAGTTATCTTCATTTAACTTAACTTTCCAAGTTTTTGAGGACTCAAGGACACAGAGTCATTGTATATCGCAAACCGTCTCTCTGTAAACAGCGTGATAGTTTGCTGGGGCTTGCTATCATTAGTCTCCAGTACTCCCCCCACTTTTTTCTCCCTTCTCTATCCTCTCATCAATCATTCGCTAATTTAGATTTATTGTATTTTTTTACTCTTTTTCTTCCCATTAAAAACTTTGAAGAGCGAGCGAGAGCGAAACCGCTTGTTATTCTCTTTCATTTTTTTACCATCAGTTTCTTTATTTTTAAATTATGCCAAGTAATATCCAGTTTAATGTTTTTGCAGCAATACTCAAGTTCAGTACCACTAAGAATGTTTATATATATATATATATATATATATATATATATATATTTCTAAAGAAGCAATGAGTTTTTATTTATTAATCCGTCAGCTTTTATCACTTTAAACATTATTAGAAGTGCGATAGAAGAAACTGTTAGCATAGAACTTATGGTTACGCTATCCATTTCAGCTGTAAGATGATGAAACCTTGCTGCCAATCTAATACTACACTTAAATTCATAGAATCTCATCGATTTGGGATTTAGAGTGTTGCCTTCTCTTAAATCGGTTGCCGACTGAAGCATGACAGCCCAGGCTGTACTGCTATTATGTTAAAACTGCGGGCGGGAGAGAATAAATGGATTCATGCTACAATTTGTGCAAAAGTGAATACAACAGTCCCGGTCGGAATTTGAACACGAAACACCAAAACTATTTACCTTCATGATAACCGCTATGCTATGCGCACTTCCACACACACACATACACATATATATTGTCTTCACAGATATTTTAGATTTATATTTGAATTTTTACGCGCATGCGCACACAGACACACACACGTGTGTATGTGTGTGCGTAAAAATTCAAATATAAATAAAAATATCTGTAAAGACAATGTATTTTTTCATTTATCATATATATATATATATATATATATATATATATATATATATATATATATATATATATAAAAAAACAGGAAGAATAATATTTTAAATGGCGCTCGTTTATAATAAAAATGTATCCTGTCCTGGTCTAGGATACATTTTTATTATAAACGTGCGCCATTCAAAATATTACTTTAGCGATACCATAAAAACGGTGTTTGTTTTGTCACGGAGTATAAAGCTTTTTCGATTGCCGTTCCACAAAGTCAAAGACAGGCACACTTGAAAGAGAAAAGTAACACAACGACTATAGTACATTTGATAGGTTTACAGAAAAGGGTGTATGCACAATAGGCAAAAAGAAGGCTTGCAAATATAATTTATATTTGCGAACTTAATTGTTAGAAGAGTATCTAAGGAACAAGTAGGCTTCGCGGCTTCTATATTCCATTAATTTCGGAAAGAAAGGGTTTCAAGTTCAAGGTTGATCTTTGAATGGTAAAGGGTTATTTCTCTTTACTATCCCTTTCAAATTATTATAGCAGTCGGTTTTTCACCACCTGTGAACAACTTGGAAAACTCCTCCTTTGTCGTAACAAAGACTTTGTCCTTGGGAGTCGCTAATACAAAGGAAATAAATCGATTACAAGGAAAAGTGGGGTGGTAGTAACTGTTAGGGTCCCAGCTATAGGTAAATAGTAAACCTCTAAACTGAGGTCAAAACATTATGAAAGTATGAAAATACATTTTTGTAGTAAGAATACCAGCAATACATTTTTATTGTAAAAAAAAAAAAACGTTACCAGCGACACGTTTGCATAGCAAAAAAAAAAAAAAAATTACCAAAGCTCCCAAGAAAATTAAATTTCGGCATTAAATGACCCATAAGAAGTTGATATGCCTTTAAACAAACCAAACCAAACAAAGAAAAGTTACCGGCTAGTTATACAAATGCATTTTGCATATTGTATCTGTACAGATTGAGTGAGGAGAATTTAGTTCTTTATATAGTAAAATGTGTTAAGAGATGAATTAAATTGTTAACTGAATTCTGTTAGTGCTAGCAACCAAATTACTATCATTCTCGAGTCACGAGCAAGACAAGTTAAGATTGATTAAGATAATTTCTCCCTCCTGTAATGATCTTGTGCCAACTGGGTAGATCTTACAATACATAATGCACATGATGTCACATTGTTTCTGTTGCGTAGGTTGTTATACCCCCGTTGTTGTTTATTTACAAGATCAGATTAGTCCCTTACAAAATATTTTACTTAAGCAATCAGCGTATTTTTTTATATATTTGATGATGCTATATATCCCAACTAAATAATATTACCTGATTATGTAAATAAACTAGTCTACATCTAACATACAATATATTTTACTTATGAAACAGAAACGAACAATAAATTAACTTTCCTTGATATCATGCAATGGATATAGTGGGGCTGCTTTTTTCTTTGATAAATTCAGACATATCGTTAAGAAATGTTTGGATACAAATTTTTATGCTATAATTAAGTACTGTTTGTTTCATATCAGATTAATTTAACTTTAAATCTTCTCTAATTTTACTCAAATAACGTGTCAAAAATATATAAATTTATTTTAGGAAGAAGTTTAAAATCAAAATTTTGTTTTTGTTTACAAATTTCTTAAAATTTAAGAAAATGGCCGCTTTTAGGAAAATTAACCAAAAATCGAGCATATATTTGACATTCCAATCTATATAATTTCTATCTGAAAGACACCAGAATATGTTACTTACTGTAAGTAATAAATTTAATGCTTTAGCTTTCAATTAATAACAACATATTGAGACAAAACTTTGTTTTCGTCGATTTATGAGCCTTTTTTCAACGTGATATGCTGCTTCTTTACGCGACCTAACGGAGAACCCTATGTTGCACTAAAAACAGCGGCAAACAAAATTTGCACATGTAAATGACGGGTCCTCGTATCTTGTAAAGGTGAAATGAAATAGAATAAAATTCAACAAGGTGATATTTTCATATATTTTATATATGGCTAATCAATGATTAACAAGAAATAAAATATACTTATATGAATGCAAAAATAGCTGAAAAGAAAGTGGTGTGTATCTGTACGTGTATGTGTGTGTAAAAGAATCCAGTCACTCGGGGAAAGATATCCCCCAAGATGTAAATGAATCCCGTGTTGGTATCGTTACTACCGTTTGCCGAAAGAAAAAGAGGAAGAATCAGGAAGTGTCCAGTTTTTATAACTGTCTAACAGTGCCACCTAACGGTATATTGGCAAACATGGTAAAGTCAAATGGGGGTAACTAGCAATTTCTTTTCGTCAGGGACCAGTTTCTAATAAGTTCTAATAAGTCAACAGTGAATGCCTGACTGTGCGCGGTTGTTAGGCTTATTAAATATCTAAGCATCTTGCTTAATGCGATAGTTAACAAACTTGTGTAACAAGGTATTAACTCAAATGGTGAATTCGATCCTTATAAGAACCCTATACCGTGGCCTTGTACCAAACTGGGTTAAATTTAATAAATTAAATATTTCAGCACCTTATATTTAGCAAGCTTATCTGTATAGTAGTTCGATCCACACAAGAGTCCTCTTATTTTAGCCTTGTGCCAAACTCGGATAAATTTGGTGAATATACAGCACCTTATTTAATACGAAGCTTGTCTCGCAAGGCATTAATTCGTAAAGTGAGTTCGAACCTCACACAGGTCTTATAATTTTGGCCTTGTTCCAAACTAGGTTAAATTTCGTAAATATTTCTGTAGTAT